TCCTTTCCGTACATGGGAGTTCACCCTTGGATTACCTTCCCCACTATTTTCTAGGTTCAGAGACAGTTGTACTTGTATTGATTTTGTTGACCAAAAATGTATCTCCACAGTACAATTATGATAAAACAATAGTTGACAGTGGTACTACAAACCTCAGAGTGTCAGAGGAAGTATTTGAAGGAATTCTTGATCGACTCAAGAAATTTGATAAGGTAAAGATTCTAAAAGGCTAATATGACTGTTTCTTTTGTAATTGCTATCATTTTAGGGTATTATTAATAGAGCAGTATACATTCATGTCACTTGTAAGCATTACTTATAGAGACATTAAAAGGCTGTGTATTGCAGTCACCAGACTTTTTCCTAATTAAAATATTTGTTACCTGTTGGGTGTCCTGAGAATACTGAGGATAAAAATTGAGAATGGCAGTCATTTTGAGTCTCTATCACACAAATTTACCTCGTTTCCTTTCAAGCTAATTGCGATATTGTCACGCCAAAAAAGTTTGACACATCACACACTTTCTCCATAGTGCTCAGACTCCTGTGATACCATGCTGGAAATTATTGGTATCTAGGCTACCCTTTTTGGTCCACTTTGTAATCAAAGTGGATTTGTATTATTTTTCTCTATAACTAAAGGTAATTTCATCAAGGTTACAAGGAGCCACAAAAGTTAAAATTAAAAACTTGTTTTTTCTTTTATTCCATTGGGCACTGTGTATACCTCGCAAGAGGCATTCTGTGCGAGTCACTTGTCCCTAAAGGCAAGTGTAAATTATGTGCTGGAAGCTAACAATGTTCCATTTATCATCCAAAACTATGAAGATCCTTTGTAATTTTTTTCTGTCATGCTTTTAGTTGGGTGTGCCAGAAGAGTTCTGGATAGGTCGACAAATGATGTGTTGGAATTATGACAAGACGCCATGGGAGGAATTTCCAGATATGTCCATATCTCTACTCTCATCTATTAGCAATTCAAAGGAGTTTAGGCTGAAAATTCCTCCACAGGTAATATTTGCAAATTAAAAACAAATTGATTCACCATATGCCTGTTGGTGCTAGCCGAGACAGTGACTAAGACCCTGTTTAGATGGAGAATAGTTGTCCTGGGTAGATGAGTCACCCGCCTACCTGTGCTGCCTTGGGCAAGCTATCTTTTCATATGTTTCCTTTTAAAACATGTCAAACTATTTACATTTATCCGTATTTATTCGGATAAGTGCCCAGCCTCGAATTAGCACCCACTAACACCCCACCCCCTCCCCCTTCTACTCAACTCAAATAAGTGCCCACCCTCACCCCTCCCCCTTCCCCCTCCCGCTCAAATAAAAAATTGAATAAGTACTAAGATGCAGTTATTTTACAGAAACCTTGCATTGTTACATCTTTGCATTTTGATTTTACCATTTATTGTTTTGTTGCAAAATATATGTTGTAGTTCAATTTTTACCTCTGGTTTAATTTTTTTAAACCGGTTAAATTTTTTTGAACCAGTTAGTTTTTTTTTAAACCGGTTTAATTTTTGTTAATCGGTTTTTAATCAACTGTCTGAAAAAGGGCCTTTAACTTTTTGGGGTGTGGATAAAAAATAGGGGCTTGGCTTTTTAGGGGGGGTCAAAGAAAAAGAACTAGATGCAAGAAGAATAAACAAGTGAATATCCGTATCATTCTCTCCACCAACCCCCTCATAGCTTCTAACCGTACCCTACTACCCCTCAGTTTCTTATCAACCACCCCTGATAGCCCCCTGACATGAACTTACCACTCAGTTACCACTTTGCCCTCACCTTACTCAGTAACAATTTCCTTCTTGTTTGCAACCTCATTCTGTACTCACCAGGATTTGAACCTCCAACCTCCAAATCTGTTGCCCTCTGTTCTCTCCATTAGGCCATGCTAGATTTCGTAGAAAGCTGGTCCATTTTTGTTGCTATTATAATTTATTGGTCTCAGACTCCCCTCTGCTCGGCCAACTTAATTATTAAAATATTCGTACACTTACACGCATGCGCTTTTGATGCACATTTGGACTTGCAATTTTGATAAGATGGCGGAAGCACAGACAGAAGAGAACTGCTGCGTTTTAAAAGAAACTTTTCACCACAAATTAGATGATTTAAAAGCGAAACAGACCAAAAATGAATCTCTTATAACGTTGTTTATTGACGACCACTTTTTCGAGAAAGCAAAGAGATATTTGAAACACCAAGCAGAAAAGTCCCTCGGACTAGACTCGGCACAAGAAACCTGTTTACAAATGACCAAATGGGAGATCAACACAATCAAGCGAAAGAACTGGTCCTTTGAAAATGATTCGCTAGTAATTGAAGACAAAAAGAAAGTGGTCCCCAAAGGACAGCTTCATGAGGTCTTAAGCCTTGCTCACAGACGCATTAATCACCGAGGAAGACAGATAACCAGCAAATGGATCAACAATAACTACAGCGAAGTTAACAGTAAGGTAATCAGCCTGTTCGTTGCTTCATGTCGTTTTCGTGCTGAACAACAATCTATTACCAGTCGTGTGAAGATGGTGGAAAAACCTCTTCAGTCTCCGCATTTTCTTTCTCTTCTGGAGATTGACTTAATGGATTTCAGAAACTGTCCATGCGATTGCAGAGAACCTCACACCTGGGCGATTAACATCATAGATCATCACACCAAATATGTTTACGTTTCACCACTTATAAACAAAACTGCTGATGAGGTACTGAGAGTCATCAAAATGTACTGTTACACATATGGTTTCCCCAAAATGATTCTCACCGACAATGGAAAGGAATTCAAGAACAAAAAAATGGAAACATTCTGCAACGAAAATGGGATCAAGCAAGGGCATGGCTCTCCACGTACTCCCACAACGCAAGGTCTTGTGGAGAGAGCAAACAGATCATGGAAAGAAGACATGAGAGCGCTAATAGTTTCTACTAATAAAGAAACCAACAAATGGTGCCAGTCTACTATGGAAGCTGCTTATGTAAGAAATATTGCCTACCACCGTGCTATCAAGCAGAGTCCTTATGAGGCAGTATATGGCATAAAGTCACACAGAGAGCAGCTTACCCCTTCATTGTCACTTGACCAGGCAACTGAAGCTGAAGCTCCAGTTACTACTAGTGACACAAGTGAAAGTACCCAATCCATAAGTGATGAACGGACCAAAAAGCGTAAATGTATCAGTGAAAATCAGGAAGATTATAACAACAGAATGATAAAACAAACTCGGCAGAGTTCCAGAACCAAATCTTTCAAAGTTGATGATATGGTCTCTATAAAGATTGATAAAGTTGATAAAAAAACACCCATGCATCCAAATATGCTGATGGGAAAAATTACTGCTACAGAAAATGGCTATGCCAAAGTTGTCACTCAATTTGGAGTAATCCAAGGTTACATTGCAACATCCAGGTTACAGCCTTGTACAGCAACTGGTGTGAAATTAAATTATGACAAAGAAATTTCATTTTCGAGTGCTTGTAAAGAGGCACACAATTCAAATTGAACATTGAAGCATGTTTATTATGAACAGTCATCATGAACATATCATCTTTTGAACATAATTATATAGAGTGACTTTAGTATCTTCCCATTTTTGTATTAGTTCTATTACTTAAGAGTGAACAATAAAAAGGTACGTGTTGCAAAAACAATAAAATTTCAGTATTTTTAAACCAAAAAAGACTCATACAAACAAGCGTTTCAAAGAAGAGTTTTGTTCAATACGTTCCTCAAACCAGGAAATATTACCTGAACGTCAGTAATAATCTGCAATCAAAGCTTTAAGGAGAGAACAGTGACATATCAAGCGTGAACCATCATCCTGAACAGCAATGGATAGCCACAACAAAGATAATCGCGGCATTTACCCCTTCCCTCTCTTATTCTGGTTTCACAGTAAAAATAGTTCCTAAGCCTCTTCCATTGGTGGCAATGCATAGAGTACAACCTGTAGTAGCCTGTTTTATCCCTATCCTTAACCCTAACCCTAACCTGTATTAACCCTAACCCTAACCTGTATTATCCCTAACCCTAACCCTAACCCTAATCTGTAAAATGAGTGCTTAAACCTAATTAGTAAAATGAGTGCTTAACCCTAATCAGTAAAATTAACACTTGCTAAAATGTGTGACACCTCAATATCACGGGTTTATTTTACACAGAGTATTTTACATGCAGAGATACAAATAAATGACAATGAGACATGTGTTTAAAAATTTTAAACCAGTTTGAAAATTTCACACCAGTTTGAAAAATTTAAACCAGTTTAAAAAAATTCAAACCAAAGAAAAAATTTGAACTACGACATATACATACCACACTTCCTGAAAATGGCTAAAATTTAACAAGCACCCAGCCTCAAATGAGCACTTACCTTGAGTAAGTGCAAACTCTCAAGGTAAACACAATTGGTTAGCTCAGTTGGGCCATCTCGGTCAAGGTGAGACAATCACAGTAGCACCAGCTTTGTTGTAGACAATCAGAGCGTGTGTGAATGCTGTTGGCTCGGGCAAATGGGTCAACTTTCTTCTTATGTAAAGGCTCACTAAATTCTATTTTGTTTTTTGGCAGCTTTACTTAAGAGAAACTATAGAACGTGGTCCTCTTCCTGGTCAGCACTGTTACAAGTTTGCCATAACTAAAGCTGATAAAGGTATGATCTGAAGAAGGATTTCTTTATTACACAGAACTAGATGAGAGTAATAATTATTACTAAGGTAGCTAAATGGTAGGGTTTTCAGGTAGTTTAATTTGGGATAGGCAGGGCTAAAAAAACACTCGAATTATTCCAGCTTGTCCTTTGGGCAAGCCGCTCTTACATTTTGCTTGCCCATGGTCACTTCTTGCTCATCTTAAATTCGTTAACTACAGGTGATGTTACACGAGATGACTCGCAATGATGATTTTTAGCACAATGCGACATGGCAACATTGCTGCAACATTGTTTTGTATGGTTACAACATTGTTCCAATATTGCAACGATGTGTTGCACTAAAAATCATCATTGCGAATCATCGTCCCGTGTTACATCACCTGTAGTTAAAGAATTTATTCCACAATAACTTGCCTGCACCCTCACCCATCAGGGAAGAAAGAAATTTCTTTTTTCTTCTACCAGAAGGGCTTTTTTCGATCCCTGATAGGGTATAGGAGTTAAAGGATTTTACTCTCAGAGTAGTCAAGAGAATTAGTGATTGATTGATCAGTTGTACAGCGTGTAAATATGTTTCTCGTTCATTGCTAAGTCGCAGAGGTGGTGATTCTTGGTGCCTATCCTAGAAAAAGTACTAGATTAAAATTGCAGTTGTATATTGTCTGGTATAAGCCTGCCAAGGGTTTCTTGGAACCAGTGGCATGGGCTAAGAGATAGTTACATGTAGTTGGAGTCTGTACTTACCCTTTTATGAACTCAAGCATTAATGAGTCGGTTTGACTGTTAAGGTTGACTTATGATGACTGAAGATATCCTCTTTTAGTGTCATCATTAACACACCTTATCCTACCCTGGTGCTGTGGAAAAGTTTCTGTGAGCGAGATAAACTGAAATATTATTAAAATATTGTTTTGTTATTTAGGTACAGTAATAGGAGCTGTTATCATGGAGGGATTTTATGTGGTTTTTGATAGAGAAAATGTTCAAGTAGGATTTGCTGCAACAACATGTGGAGGTAAATAAAAGATTTTTTAGTACTTTCATGGGCGTAGGATTTTGTTACATTCCCCCTTTAACCCCCTAAGCCCTAAGAGTGATCAGCATCAAATTTCTCCTTATAATATCAATGCTTTGTTAAACAGAGTGGTCATGAGAATTACAGACATGATCACACAAGATGAATTTGCTTGATATTTTAGCAACTTCTCCCCACTACTTCTGTAGGAAATGAATAGGGGCAACAAATGAGAATTCAAATGTTGATCTTAGGGTTTAAAGGGTTAATCAAGGCCTGCTGTAACTGAAAGTTCACCTTTTTGTGTGGTGCTTTCAACATTATGAAGGCAGCACTCTTTCAAGAAAACACTGATAGTCATAGCTGTTACAACTCAATGTCCCAGACTAAAATTTGCACTTATTTGATTGTTAATTTGTTTACTTTTTTAATAGCCGAAGGCCGCCTTAACCCAAGTTCTGAAGTTAGTGGACCATTTAGTAGAGGTAAGGGCATTCTTTAATTATGACTTTTAGCCTGAACAAAGGCCTTTAAAACAACTGCGTAAAAAACTTGTGGTTTTTACATGGTGGGACAATGCCTGTGGAGGCTTGTATTATGGTTTAATGGGTTAAGGGGTAAATTCTTTTTGCATAGTAAACAGCTTATTGACCCATGACATCACTAAACTAATGAGTCCAAGCTGTTCTTAAAGTTTATATTATTTTCTTTTCTTTCAGATGCAGTGGACTGTGAATATATAGAAACAGAAAGTTCCGACACAGCTCTCCTCACTGTAGCATACGTCATGGCTGGAGTGTGTGGACTCTGTCTTCTGCCAATTTTTGTTCTGTTAGTTCAAGCAAGCTGTAAGAGACGCAAACAGCAACAGCAACAGCAACAGCAAGCTACAAGTGCAACAGACCAACCATCCGATAGAACAAACCTCAGAAACGACTTTTATAATAATTATTGAGCCAAGACAAACATTACAGTAAACTTCCTTCAAGACAGACTGGTTCTAAGCATCCATGCAGAGGTAGCTTCCTTAGAGAGAGCGAAGGAAAATGAAGGAAGAAAAACAAGAACCACATTTAAGTGCGCTCTTTTCATTGACCATTTTCCAGAATAAGAATACATGAAACAGATGCTAAAAATCACTTGTTTTGGCTTTCATTCCATGGTAAAATCCAGAAATCTGGTGGAGATTAGAAATTAAGGTGATTGTAGCATTCCAATTGTCCAAAAATTTGATGTCACTATTTGTTTTGTATTCTTATTCGGAATATGATCAATCAAATGCAGCCTAAATGTCATTGTTTTTGAGGGGTGTCTGTCTTATAGAGATGTCCTTTCACACAGAATGAACTGATTTTTTAATTTCAAATCAGCAGAAAGGGATGTGAATGTTTATTTCCATGTTGAGGTTGAAGTATATTGTACTGGTTGTATGTGATTTACCACACAAATTTAGTTTTTTTTTTTCAGTTTTCAGGGGCAGGTACAAAACTTGGACCAGATCAACTCACTTAACTCCATTAAATACAATAGGTATAATATAATTGTTTTGTGGGATGTGAATGAGAGGTGATCTGGTCATAGCTTTGCACTTAATACCTCTTTTTATCTCTCTAAGGTGTGGTGAATGTGAGACAGCTAATGCTTTTTGGCAGCAGGTGATTATGGGGGTGATGTTTTGGTCTCCATTGTTTTTCTTTTCTTTTTTTATACAGAAGGAAGGTGGGATGGGGGCAGGGGGGAGCAACAGGGGTTTGTAAGTTACACCTTCATGTGCCGTTCGCGTCATGGAACCAGTTGTTTGAAACGTCAGCTGTTGAATTTTCAGCTTAGTCAAAATCAATATTGTTAACAACAGAGTTTGGCAAGAAAGCCACCCACCAGGTTCCAAAATCACATAGAAATGCATTCATATTTGTCCTGGTTTCAGTCATTGTTTTTTGAAAGGTTGTTGCTCCTTCCCCATCTTACTCTACAAGAGAAACAACTCCTTTTGTCAAAAAGACATACTTTTTTATTACATAACGACAACAACAACACATGTGAATAAACTAGATTCATTCAGTGGAACTTTTAAATAGTTATTGTACAGATAAAGTGATAACAAAATTAGGATTAATGGAGGTTTTTGGGTAACTGACCACCCACTCCTCCCTTAAGTCAACATAAACACTTAATAGTTGTGACTTAGGGGAGGGGTAGGTGGTCAGTTAAACAGAAACCACAATTGATCCCAAATCATTGATAGTATTATTGAAAAGAAAAGTAAATAGAATTATGTAAGGTGAAGCTATGTTAATTTGTAAGTGGAATAGGCTACCAAAAATAAGATTATAAAAATATTGTTATTAGTATATGAAAATATGTGCTGTGCAGTGAGGTAGTATTATTATTATACATCCTTAGATTTAAATTTAGGAATTTTTTGTGAATTTGACCTCATAGTACAAACCCCTTTATAATTTGAAGGAAATGAGTTTGTATTATTTTATTACATTTTTTAATCTTGTAACAAGCTTCTTTGGCTGTACTCTTATCCCTTGCAGATACAAGAATTTGACACTGATAAACGTCTGACCCTCTTCTATTTTTACAGATATTATTATTGATCCCTAGACAAACTGATTCTGCAACAACAAAAACAGGTCACTCAGTGCACATTTTGTCAAAATAATACTGTACAGGTTTATTAAAGGGGAACAACTAAAGGCATTTTGTAACAGATTATCAGTGTTAACTTACACCTTGTTAAGTTTTTGTTCTTGACTTTCCCTACAGGTTTATCATATCAAGAAAGGGCTGTCACTAAGATTTCAAGTTGCTGGGTATATGCAATTAATAGGAGGAGAATTAACAGCTTGGAATTTCTTTTTGTTCTAGTTTCCTTTTGGTTTCTATTAAAGTAGCCACAGTAGCAAAGAAAATCCCCAGCCTCTGTTCTTTATTAGTGACAGCTAGCCCTGATCAAGAACTTCAATTTGCCTTGAAACGTTTGGTGTTTTGATAAGTTTTTGATAGGAGGAGACAAATGAAAATTTAAGAAACAACACAAAGCATTTTTCAACAGTCATCTCAACAGTTGCTTATGTTGTTATTCAGATGTTTTATACTTTTTGTGAGGTGACGTTGGCAACTGCTGAAAATAATATTATTATATCCAAATGTCAAAGGTGTTGTATTGTTTCTTAAAGTATTATTGTGTTCCCTAGACATTGGTCTAGAATTCTATGGCTCAATTCCAGTTGCAAGATGGCCAGCCTGTATAGCAGTCAGTTCTGTTTCCTTTTAACCAAGTGGGGGAAGTGGAGGAGCCACAAGAAGGAACAAGGCAAACAGAAACGACTGCTATGCATGCTAACTCCAAGAGAAGCACAAGCAATTTCTTACTTAACTGAATCCAGTGTAAAAATGTTAAGTACGATCCAACATTAGTCAGTTTACAAAACAAAATATTTCTGCGATGCCCTGGTTCCGGGGCCACTGGGAACATTTTTTTGTAATTTCCATTTTGTAAGAGCCATTTTTATAATAAAAAATTGTTAACAGAAAAGATGTTTTCAGTCTTGGTATTATTTTAGTCTTTATTATTTTGTATAACATCCCCACAGATGAAGCTCACAGATTATTTCCCAAAAAAATCTTTATGAGAGTTACTAACCTACTAGTTGCTAGCTAGCTGCATTACTGACATGTTTTATGGGTGCTTTAAGAGCCTCAATACTTGGCATATAAAAATCTGGAATAGACTTCCTATCATCGAGATCACTAGAAGTCTGACAGTCTTTCACATCAGCCAGAGATGAGATTCCAGACAGCATTAGAATGGTAGTCAAGCCACAGTTGTTTCCAAACAGTATGTCTGTTCCCAGTCTAGAATAATGTAAGCAATCAAATTATGATGTCAGCCCAGTGAAGTATGATCAGGGGTTATAATACCTTTTATTGCATAAACACCAATGAAAATACAGGGTTGGCTTTCACGCGAAAACGTGATATCTTCACACGTGAAAGCAACATGTTATTTTCACAAGTGAAAAGATCACCATTTCTATGGCTACATAATACATCATGCCTTTCACAGTAAAAAACTATTTAAGTGAAATGGTTTGGCAATCAATGATGTTTTTATAATAAAAAGAAAATTACACGGCTGCTTGGAAATAAGAAATTTTTCTTCTGCGCTCACTCATGAAATATTTTTCAACACTCGCAGAGAAATTTAGTAACTCTGCGAGGACATGTAATATCCTCTATGCATCTTATGTTCACTTGCTGCATGCCCTTTAAGCTTGTGAAGTGCCGAAAAGGGATTCTTAGTGTATCACATACTCTCGACTGATGTTCTTAACAGGGCTTCATCCCATAGCTCCTTTGCCCTAACAATGTCAGCAAATAGGAGCCACAATGTTCATGGGGAGGAACGTGATGAGGCCCCAAAAGAGGTCTGAGTATGAGGAACTAGTAAAGGGATTCCAAGATTTATGAAATGTCAAGCCCATGGCAAAATTTTACCATTGTCTTTTTTCTTGGAATTTTTACAATAATAATAATTAAGAAAATTATACTTTAATAATATCCTCTCCCCTTATGGGGCTTCACAGGGATAACAAATACAAATAAAGGGACAACATGCTTTCTGGTTAAAAATCCCAACTAGTAGGAAGGAGATAAACCAGTTGGCTATTTAACAAACGTGGCCAAGGATTTGAACTCGGGACTTCAAAGAACAAATCCAGCTAGTGGTCAGGGCAGGACTTGAACTTGGGGGCCTCTATATTACAAGTCCAGCGCTCTGACTGCTCGGGCAAGCTGCCTTTGTATCTTGGGTTTAAGTCACTATAAAAGTTGTGTCTCAGAGGTTTTAACTCACCTGTCGCCTATCATACAGGTTCGTGATGGGTTGATGTCATGACTGATGAAAGACAATAATGTTATTTGAGGTTAAGCACCAACCGCCAAGAAGACACTTTTACTGCTAGTAGCAATCATAGATTAGTGAGTGTGTTCTAGTTTTCTTGGCTTTACAGTCAACCGATATTTTAAAACAAGGTAAACTAGGTCATGAAAACATTTTTTAAATTTCTCTTACGACCTCTGCATGGATGGCTTTTATTTTAAACTTGACTATAGTCGTCAATAACAATGAGAAGTAGATCATAGATTAGCCCTTTAAGCCCTAAGAGTGATCAGTGTCAAATTTCTCCTTGTAATATCACTGCTTTATAAAACACAGTGGTCATGAGAATTGAGGGCCTGATCACACAAGATGAATCTAATTGATACTTCGACAAATTCTGCCCACTGCTTCTATTGAAAACATATGGGGACAACAAATGAGAATTTGAATTTTGATATTAGGGTTTAAAAGGGTTAACATAATTAGCACTACAAAGGTTTGGAGCTGAGGAATGAACTCAGAATGAGTAACCTTCAGTTGTCCTTTTGACAGTTGCACCTGATCTGATTTGAACCTTGTGAAATGGTGATGCACGTGAATGTATTACATACATTTTGTATGACAATTTAAAATGGTGTCAAAAAGGCAGACAAGCGATGAAAAAAATTGTAAAAATACCAGTTAGCCCTGAGTACCTTGGGACACCCAAGTATCAAAGGATTCCTAAGATTAGAAGCCGCATTCTTCTACTACCAAATGCAGTAAGGGAAGTGGTCAAAACTATTGAACATAGACAGCATCCCCACTGTTATACTGAAAAAAAAGTGGTGGGGTCTTTTTCTACTCCCCCTTTCTGTGGGGGCATGTGTGGCCGCCGAGCTGTTAACACCTCAAACTCTAGTGGATCTGGAGGTCTGGGGTTTAAGCCTCGCCTGTCACATTGTTTCCTTAGACAAGGAACTTCACTCAACTTTGTCTCTCTTCACCCAGGTGTATGAAGGGGTACCAGCCACATACTGCTGGGGGGTAACCAGGCAATGGTCTAGAATCCCATCCAGGAGGAGTAGCAATACTCCTAGGGCATGCATCATACTAAGGAAACCGGGATAAGCTCCGGCCAAAGGGCCTTTGGCTCGTGTGCGCCTTTACCTTTTCTCACTACTATTTTGTTTTAATGGCCCCCTGTCTACTACTAGTAGAGAATGAGTACAAGATTTAAATGTCTTTGGCTGTGCAGTTTGCCTGAAAATGTAACCCTGAACACTGAATGACCAGTTAATTTTAAGTTCTTTCTTTGTTCTTACCATAATTTCATACAATCAAACATATATCTCTCTGGCTTCCCTATGACCTTTGCTTTTCTTCTGGCTGCTGCTTCCACAGAAATCACAAAGCAGCCTGTGCCTACAGAATGAATCATTTTGAATTTCAGTAACACCCTTTGCAGCTCAGGGTAACATGACCTCTCACATGCCAAAATTATGGGATAAAACATGAAAAATTTAAGATTGAAAGGGCTCACGACAAATAGTGGGTAAGATCCCATATCTAAACTACCATCATGGTAGTGATTCCCTACTCATTACTCCTTCTAAGTAAAGTCACTGTCAATAACAAACTCAAGAGAGGAAAATTCTCAAGGGGGAAAAAAATTCTCTAATGGGGGAAGGGTTCTATTAGGATTTTGATCGAGGAGACAGCATCTCTTATTTCAAGAAGAGTGGGATAGGCCTTCAAGAAAAACAATTGTTAGGGACGGGTAGCCTGGGCGGGGGGGAGGGGGGAGTTTGTACTCTTTATTATGGCCTATATAGAGAGGCTCCACCCAAAAGTGTAGGGATTTCACTAGTTGAAAGATAAGAAAGGGTAGGGAGGGTAAGGAAATCTGTCATTGTCATGGTTTGTGAGAGGACCTATAAGGGCTAACAGGTGCATTCTATGGCTTCCTAGTTTAGTGGGATTTATTTATATCTAAAACACAGGACATTTACAGCAGTTAAAGGGGATGCAGCTTTCTACACTAGTATGTGAAAGGGGTACCATTTGTCAATAAAAGGTATATGAAAGGAGTACCTTTGGTCTCCAAAACAGTATTTAAGTGTAAAGGGTTGGACCTTGGGGCGGAGCCTCCCTGTGTAAGATTTTGTTGATTACCTCCCCCGCCCCTACCCTCCAGGAGGGCCAGGAATATTATTTTGCTAAATGACATAAATACCTGGAATAACAACATCACTGCTTTTAAATGGAAATCTGTCATCACGATTTGTTGCAATGAATAAACAGGAGTCTTTGGCAAGATAACTTGCTGCTTTTATAAGTTTGTGATAACTAAAGTGTTCATCAAACCCACAAACAACTGCTCCAACCTAAAGAGGAAAAAGAAAAATTACTGATAAATTTTTCAAGTTAGTGTACACTGTGGTTGCCTGCTCACAGACCCTCTATTTTCTATTTTTTCTTTTTAGATCGTAGAGCATAGTTATGGAATAAAAACTGAGGGGATTTATATTGACCATAAGTGCAAGGGAGTGGTAGTGGAGAAAAATTCCACTCCTTTTTTCTCTTGCTTCATGCTTTTTCTCCTGCTCTGTGCTCACTCTCATGCAGAAAAACATCCTGTGGATAGGGCTAACATAGTGGTAATTAACAACATAATCAAACTTAGTACCTACCTCAGGATCCAGTGTTAATGTTGACCACTCTTTCACGTTGTAACCACCCGAGGACTGATCTGGCTGAAAAAGAGAAAAAATGTTGACAGGAGACTGAAACTATAGCCATATAAATTATATACAAAGGAAAAGAGAAAAAAAATGAGTTTTCTATCCCCCCTGTCGGAAATCGCACTTTTTTTCTTTTTTTGTTTGTATACATATGGCTATAACTTTTGAAGAAGCTTTAATAGAATGTATTCGCAAAATTAATCACACTTAGTAACATCGGGCAAGCTGAGTAGGTGATCTGTTCCAAAAACTGCTTTTAGCACATGGAAAAATGTCTGAAACTTAAAGATATATTTAAACTTTGGTTAAATTAAGAGAATAAAAATAAAAAAGAAAAGAAAAGAATTAATTTTTTTACATGTACAGTTACCCTGGAGAACAAGCCTTGATCTTGCTTATCTGAGAGGAATGACAGAATCCTACTCGTATAGGGTTCCATAAAGAACCTCACTTCTCGTTTTTTTTAATAAAATTAACGAAAAACTGACTTACTCCAGAACCAGTATGAGGAATTTTCAAGGCATCAAATTCTTCCACCATCCCTGTTGTGCCAACAGTATAAACTTTCTTATCAAATTTGAGAATCTCCTTTAAGTAAAATGCCACAGCAAATGCAGTGCCATAAATTTCCTCCTATATGGACAGGAAGGAAACTCAGTTTCTATTATATTATTAAACAGAGAATACTTTCCATTTTTGGAGATTTTTTTTACTGGACTCAAGCCTACCTGCAACCTCCCCCCCTTCCCCTTTAACAGACAAAGGACTGCACAGACCAGACCATCTTGACGTCCATGAGACTAGACTTATAATGTAATGACTCTACCTGGAACATTCTGTTGCGTTACTAGTATTATGGGGTGTCATATAACATACACATCTTTATCAGACAATCTCAATTTAAATTATTACAGATCATTGGCCTGTATGTTTAAAAATGGTATCCTTTAGGGGTAATTTTAAGTTCAAGCCATGTCCAGATTGCTCTCATTTAGGTGCTTAACTCCAATTGTACGACAAGCATCCCCACCCCTTTCAAAAGGACATGCCCCTTTGTAACCCCACCCCACCCCCTCAGGTATCCCTGGGCTACACGGTTAACCAGTCTACCCAATGCTACCAGGCTACCCTTTGGACAACATTTAGTTCGCAGGGGCATAAGGGAGGGCTGCAATGATCTCATAAGGCTTAAACAAACTAATCTGAAAAGAAAACATAATTATTCATTCTATGTTTTGCTCCACACATTCATCAAATTTAAGCACCACCAATAGAAATAAAAATAAAACAACATTATTAAGAAACTGTGTAAACTCCAGAAAGATTACTGAAAATGACCATACCATGCTAGCTTGAATTCCAAACTTCTCAAACTTTTTGACATATTCTGCTCTTGACTTGGAACTGTTATTAGTAACAAAGAAAACCTGTTTTCCCTAGAGGTAGGATGAAATTCAGAAGAAAAACTTTATGAAGGTATATCAAACAAAAACAACATAAGTTTTTTGAATCCTATCCATTCCTAGGCCTGTTCGGCACATGGAATAGCCGTTCAAATAAGCAGAGCAGTACTACTCTGAAGAAAAATGGAGGACACAAGACACAATCATACAAGAAGAAACTTTCATTGGAATTGATAAATGAGGCCATGTTAAAGACAAATCCCGACAAGTGAAATGAGCTTGAAACAGCGACATTGGACAGCAGAAATGGCGACAAATGATACAAAGATGGGCTGAAACTGCGACAGTCACAGAGAAAAGTGCAATTAAAAATAATAACATATCAAAAAGCGACATGGCTTCCTCTTCAATATGTGAAATGATAGGTTTTGAAAGACAAGGGACAAATGTTACCCCCCTCCCCCCAGGAGGGCCTCATAAATCCCCACTATCATACCCATGGAGCAACCTCACCCCAGTCCCCTTCCAATCTCCAACCTTCCACCTCTCCAGCTCTTATTAGTGCCTGCTCTATGGGGGCCATTCCTAACCATTCCATTTTGCATTCACTACCCCACCCCCCATCCCTCAGGCGATCAGGGTCAATACCAAGAGAGAAACTTTTCTGAAGAAATGGAGGACACAAGACACAATCATACAAGAAGAAACTTTCATTGGAATTGATAAATGAGGCCATGTTAAAGACAAATTCTGACAAGTGACATGAGCTTGAAACAGCGACATTGGACAGCAGAAATGGCGGCAAATGATACAAAGATGGGCTGAAACTGTGACAGCCACAGAGAAAAGTGCAATTAAAAATAATAAAATATCAAAAAGCGACATGACTTCCTCTTCAATATGTGAAATGACAGGTTTTGAAAGACAAGGGCCATACGTTACCCCCCTCCCCCCAGGAGGGCCTCATAAATCTCCACTATCATACCCATGGAGCAACCTCACCCCAGTCCCCTTCGAATCTCCAACCTTCCACCTCTCCAGCTCTTATTAGTGCCTGCTCTATGCAGGGGCGGATCTAGGGGGAGGGTGCAGGGGGTGCGCACCCCCCCCCGACTTGCAGTTTTCTAATACAACTTGTATTCTGCAAAAAACAAAACTATGTGGTTTATTGGTGTTGAAGTAGAGCAAGAGACGAGTGCACCCCCTCCTAAAAAAAATCCTGGATCCGCCCCTGCTATGGGGGCCATTCCTAACCATTCCATTTTGCATCCACTCCCCCACCCCCCACCCCTCAGGCGATCAGGGTCAATACCAAGAGAGAAACTTTTCTGAAGAATTTTTAACCAAAATGTTAATTTCTAAGGGTGAAAATACCGAGAAAAAATTTCTGAAGGACTAAGGGAAGTGTTACATAATTTATAGTGGGATGGTGAATACAAAATTCTAGCTTCTTAAGAAGAGTGCTGTGAAACCTCTTCTCTGAATGGGCAATTAACATTGTCGCATTTTAAGGTGGCTCCGTAATTAATACAAGAGCATTTAGCTGTGACAAATTTTCCGTCATAACTTTTTGGTTTTTAACGCGATGGCTGCGAAACTTTGCAAAGAACAACAGATATCATTAGGCAATGATTCGAAATATTCCGAGTTCACTGATGGTAAATATTTCTCGAGAAATTAGCGCTTAAAAGGACCCTACTGTTCAAAGAAAATCGCGTCTAGTAAAAAATTTTGCTGATATTTTTTACTGAAATTTCTGGTATCGGCTTTAATTGATATAATAAATATGCCAGAGGAATTTCAGAAAAATCGTTGGAGTAGAAGTCGAAAACTAAAAGTCGCTCAAAATTCAGCTGTGAAATTGTTTTGGAATTTCAAAAATAAATTACCATCAGCGAGAAGGAGCCACCAGTTTGAATTTTAGGGACAAGTAAATTCAGTGTTTGCTAATTCTGAAAACAGAAGCCGATTGCCTATCGTGCTATTCTTTAAAAATTACTGTTCAGTTTTAGAAGCACTATAAATTGCTTCAAAACTTTGCTCTGACTTCGAATGACTTGTTGTCCTTGTTCCTCGACATTTTTAAAATATCCCTTGGCAGTTTTGGTTCAAACTCCTGCTGCACACATTTTGATGTATTGCAATGCATCCTCAACGGCTTTTCCCTGCTGTCGTTGTTTCCAATTCAGGAAAAAGGTATTGGGATTGTAAGCTACCTTGTATCAAAGCTCAGATAGAACTGTCCAGCACCTTTGTTTATGACCAGAAAATGAGCACGGCGGCACTTGTGAATTCGCACCTCAGCCAGGGGGGACGAATGACAATGATGCCCATGTCTGTGAACCGATCTGTATAAACATGTATTGCAGAGCAAAACATAATAATCAAGAAAAATACCCATTCATTGAGGGAAGGAGTGACAAAAATTCCAGAGTTGTAAATTTATTCACGGGCAGTATTTTTTGATAATTTTATTTTGGACTGTGATGTTATTCGGTTCACAGGCATGGTCATCGATGTCGCTCGCCCCCTGTGTGAGGTGCGAATTCCACGCAGAACTGCCGCCGTGCTCATTTTGTAGTCATAAACAAAGGTGCTGGACAGTTCTATCTGAGCTCTGGTAAATAGCGTCAATCTCAATACTTTTTTTTCCTGAGTTGGAAGCAAACGAACAGAAGTAAAAGTCGTTGAAAATGTATTGCAATACATCAAAATGTATGCAGCAGGAGTTTGAACCAAAACTGCCATGGGATATTTTAAAAATGTCAAGAACAAGTAATTCTACCTCAGAGCAAGGTTTGGAGCAATTTA